TATGTTTTGTGACGTTATAAATGAATATAGTCTCCTGTGCACGAGTTTCTCAAAGATTTTGGATAGCAATGGTAAGTTAGATATTGGCCTATAGTTGTTTAAATCTGTAGGGTAACCACCTTTATGTATTGGTGTAACCCTTGCAATGAGATAGTATGCGAGAGGACATGGGCCACTCTCTTGTACAATAATGGTGGGACATGAGACAGATTCCCTGAGTTATTTTTAAGTGACTTTATAATCTCGGTGACTTCCGTGGGCTCAGTTGGAGCAAGATAGAAGGAATTTGGGAAATTCCCATCTAGGTAGTCTCCGGCATGGGCATTGGTACGTGGGATTTTATTGGCGAGATTAGAACCTATGGTTGAGAAAAAGTCGTTTATCTTGTTAGCTGTAGATGAACGGTTCAGAGAACCGACATGTTGATAAATTAGACGCATGTGCAACTCTTGGGTATCTTTATTGAGGAAACGTTTCGCCACACAGTGGCTTCATCAGTCCATACAAAGGAGAATCTTGAAGAACAGGAGGAGAATGAGGTAATCAGTCCCTCAACCTTGAGTTGATGTGACCAGTCCATCAATCTTGTTAGCTGTGTCGGTGGGTTGCAGTGGTGTTTCATTAGGTTTAGTTAGGACAATATTCTTGTTTTTTTTTTCAGTTTGTGGGTCCCTAGAATCTGAGAGTGTTTTCCAGGTCTTTTTTATATCTCCTCTAGTGTCTGTGAATCTACTGGAGTAGTATAGTTGTTTGGCTTTCTTTATTACTTTGGTGAGAGCTGATGAATAGTGTTTAAGAATATCTTTGTGTATTAAGCCCTGTCTATATTGCTTTTCATATTGGTTTTTCTTATCAATGGATTTCAGAATGGTGCTGGTTAGCCATGGACAACCAAGTCGTTTGTTTGTGATCTGTTTCGTTTTTATAGGTACAATGTTTGTTGTATAGTCTAAGTAGTTTGTTAAGAAAAATGTCTGTCCAGTCGTCAATACCATTGGCCTAGGAGAATTCTGTAGGCCAAAATTCTGTAGGTTTCAAGTTGGAAAAATTCAGATTCAGGAAGGATATAGGAAAGCACTGGTTTGGTAATAGAGTTGTGGATGAGTGGAACAAACTCCCGAGTACAGTTATTCAGGCTAAAATGTTGTGTAGTTTTAAAAATAGGTTAGATAAATATATGAGTGGGTGTAGGTGGGTGTGAGTTGGACCTGACTAGCTTGTGCTGCTGGGTCTGGTGCAGTGCTCCATCCTTGAGTGGAGGTGACCAGACTGGGTGGGTCATTGGGCTAATCCGTGGGGGTGGGTCATTGGTCTAATCCGGGGGGGGGGACATGGACCTGCTCTGCATGGGTCAGTAGGCCTGTTGCAGTGTTCCTTCTTTTATGTTTTTATAATGGGCTTGTTCCCATTACCTGACATATTATCCAACTTGCTGACTGTCCCCAACACCAGCTCCTGGGAGATAAACCCTCTGTGTGACCTTCCTATCTCTGTTACAAAAAGCACAGTCCATATATCTTACCTGAGAGTCTCCCACAATTAGAATATTCTTACCTTGATTAGCAGGGGAATCAGTTGTACTTTTAACCTCACTAACCACTGAAGTACACTCGTCCTGGAGAACAGAGAATCGATTTCCTACCTTCACATCTTCTTCTATTAACCTTCCTTCTTGAATTGTGAACCACTTGCCACTTAAAAGCTGTTGCAACTCTAACTCACTGCTGGTATCCTTTTCCTCCTTACTAGCACCAACCATCTCACACTCCCAAACCCATCTAGGCGAAACTTCAGCCTTCTATTTTCCTCCTGAAGTAGAACCTCCTCCTTCAACACTTTAACCTAACATTCCAAGACACTACAGCAAGCCATGGTCGTGGTAACACCCCACGCTAATTCCCAGGCAGCCTTGGACAGTGACCTCACGTGACTAACACTCCGGCTAGAGGTGTACCACAATGACTGACGACATTAATTACTAATAATAGTAATAATATCTTTATTTCTACAAGTACATGTACAAGATATATAGAAAGCCCATTGTTATGCAGAGCAAATTAAGTAAATTTTGTCCCAGGATGCGACCCACACCAGTCGATTAACACCCTGGTACCCATTTTACTGATAGGAAAATAGACAACTAGTGTAAGGAAACACGCTCAGTGTTTCTACTTTCACCGGGAATCGAACCCCAGACCCTCGCCTTGTGAAGCGAGAGCATATGTACAGTTCAGCATATTGTAGGAAACGTTTCGCCACAAGTGGCTGAAGAATCCTGAACTCACGGCTAAAAGTTTCGAAACCTATAATAAATGTCCTGAACTGTACATGTGTCTTTTTCCACTTTACCGTACTTACTGAATGTGCATTTTATGTATACCTGGAGAGGGTAGCGAGGGTCAGCGCCCCCGCGGCCCTGTCTATGACCAGGCTTTGCAGTGGATCAGGACTTGATCAACCAGGCTGTTAGTGGTGGCCGGACGTATACTGACGTACGAAACACAGCTGGCTGATGAGGTACTGACATTAGGTGTCTGTCCAGTAGTGCCTTCTTGAAGACAGCCAGGGATCTGTTGGTATTTCCCCTTATGTATGCTGGGAGGCAGTTGAACAGTCTTGGGCCCTGAACACTTATTGTGTTGTCTTTTAGTGTACTCGTGGTGCCCCTGTTTTTCATTGGGGGGATGTTGCATCGTCTACCGAGTCTTTTGCTTTCATAGGGAGTGATGTCGTGTGCAAATTTGGGACTAATCCCTTTAGGATTTTCCAAGTATATATTGCCAGGTATCTTTCTCGCCTGCATTCCAGGGAGTACAAATCAAGGAACTTCAACCTTTCCCAGTAATTTAGGTGCTTTATCATACTTATACGTGCCGTGGAAGTTGTCTGAATATTCTCCAGGTCTGCAATTTCGCCTGCCTGGAAAGGGGCTGCCGTATTCCAGCCTAGAGAGAAGCGATTCGAAGGGAATCATCATGGGCTTGGTATCTCTTAGTTTTGAAGGTTCTCATCATTCCTGTCACTTTCCTAGCAAATGTAGTAAATACAATGTTGTGATATTTCAAAGTGAAATCCTCGGACATTATCATTCCCTGGTCCTTGACATTAGTTTTTTGCACTATTGTGTGGTTGGATTTTTTTTATACTTCGATATAATTTTAATTTCCTCGAGTTTTCCATATCGGAATAACTGAAATTTCTCTTCATTAATCTTCATATTTTCTGCGGCCCATTTAAAGATTTGGTTGATGTCGGCTTGAAGACTTGCAGTGTCCTCGAAGGATGACACTGTTATGCAGATTCAGGTGTCATCTACAAAGGAAGACACGGTGCTGTGGCTTACATCTCTGTCAGATATGAGGATGAGGAACCAGATGGGAGCGAGTACTGTGTCTTATGAAACACAGCTTTTCACTGTAGCCACCACAGACTTCATTGTTACGAAGTTATAGATCCATCTACCAACTCTTTCTCTTATTCTTTTATCAAGCATTTTGTGCGCTGTTACACTACGGTCGCATTTGCCGAAGGCTTTCGCAAAGTATGTGCATACTACATTGCATTTCGTTTGTCCTCCATAGCATCCAAGACCTTGTCATAGTGGTTCAGTAGTTGGGACAGGCAGGAGTGACCTGCTCTAAACCTGTGTTGCTCTGGGTTGTGTAACTGATGGGTATCTAAGTGTGTGGCAATCTTGCTTCTTTGAACTCTTTCAAAGATTTTTATGATGTGGGATGTTAGTGCTATCGGTCTGCAATTCTTTGGAATTATTTTACAGCCACCTTTGAGGAGTGGGGCTATGTCTGTTGCTTTTAGTGACTGTGGGATGACCCGTATGCCCATGCTCCCTCTCCATAGAATGCTAAAGGCATGTGACCGGGGCTTCTTGCAGGTCTTGATGAACACGAAGTTCCACGAGGTTGAACCAGGGACAGAGTGCATGAGCATGTCATTTATTGGTTTTTCGAAGTCTTGTGGTGTTAGGATAATATCAGGGATTTTTGAATTGACCAAATTTTGAGTCTCAGTCATAAAAAATTCATTTACATTGTCGACTCTTAGTATGGTTAACATCTCACGAAACGCTGAGTCAAACTGGGACTCCAACTTACCTGGAGAACTTACCATAGTGTCTGCTGTTTGTGGTAGGATATGAAGTCCTTCAAGAGCACCGTGAAATACCATTATAAGTCACTTTTGTAATACACCCAATTTTGTGAGGTGAGAGGACGTCTGTCTCGACCCTTTGCGAACGTGCGCGCGACTGCTGGGTCGTGGACTAACGGCCCAGTGTTTGCCATCTGTGGTGCTAATGTATAGGCCTAAGATTAAATACATCTGACGTTCTAAGCTGCATAATTTACATTCTCAGTCTACTTTAACTATTGTAACTATACCATAGATTGGATATTAGCCTATTAAAGCCTTACAACTAAATTAGTCTTACAATTAAGGCGACACGAGCAGAAAGTCTGGCAACGGTCTAGACCCACCAGTGTACCCATGTAACAGACCCTCCCTTAATCCCCCCCCTCACCTTAACAGCCTTCTCAATGTGTTTAATCCGCGAGACTCATATAAAGGCACTTGATTTTTTCCACACACACTTCACTTATCACAACTCTTCACTCACCGCAACAACCTCTTCACTCATCACAACTAACACTACTCATCAAAGCTGCTGCTTCATTCAATATTATTTACACCTACTTATTCATCACTACAGACGACCTTACTCATCACCAATGGTACTGGATCTTATTCGTCAATGAGGCACTTATGAATATCGACTTGAATATATCTGAAGCACCTGCTACCTCAACCTTGAAGGAGGGTGGTGGCAGGTTACCTGGAAGGTGGTGGTGGCAGGTTACCTGGAGGAGTGGTGGTGGCAGGTTACCTGGAAGGTGGTGGTGGCAGGTTATCTGGAGGAGGGTGGTGGCAGGTTATCTGGAGGAGGGTGGTGGCAGGTTACTTGGAGGAGGGTAGTGGCAGGTTACGTGGAGGAGGGTGGTGGCAGGTTACGTGGAGAAGGGTGGTGGCAGGTTACCTGGAGGAGGGTTTGGTGCAGGTTACCTGGAGGAGGGTGGTGACAGGTTACCTGGAGGAGGGTGGTGGCAGGTTGGCAGGGCTGGTGGACGAGGGAGACGGCAGCTGGCTGAAGGTGAGCCACCTGGGAAGGCAGCGGACAGGTAAACATGAAAGGCATCTGGCGGTCACTGCTCAACCCTTGGTAGTCCAGGTGATCTGTGGAGACACACTGAGCTCAGCTCTGTATAGCACTAACGATGACTGGGGATGTGCATGAATGCTATACAATTCCGACATCGTGAAAAACTCGTCACATGTGCAACATCTGGGCATCTTTATCTGTAGACGTTTCGCCATCCAGTGCTTTTATCAATACAAATTCAAGGACATAACTAGGATGTCTCAAGTCTTCTGAATTTCTTTAATCCTATCTTGCCTTAAATATTGACATGTTCAAACTCACGCATGTGTTATTTATTTATACGTATTTTTTGACAGTCAAATTTCCTTTCGTTCCAGAAATAACGGTTATCTAATTTTGTTTACAGTGTTGGTACAATTTTAGTACTTTTAACTTTTGTAAAAAAAAAAATCAGTTAAATATACGTTGTTATTATATATCAAAAGATTCTGAATGGAAGAATCAGTGTTTTCAGATATACTAAATCGGTTTCGAAAACGGCAGCCATTTCTCTAAATATCGGTGAGCTGGGAGTCTAGAACCTCCATCACATGACTAGTTCAGGTTTGCTAACTCTGACTTAACTAGTTCATGTATGCTAGCTCTTACTCAACTAGTTCAGTTATGCTAGCTCTGACTCAACTAGTTCAGGAATGCTAGCTCTTGATTAATTCAGGTATATTAGCTCTGACAGACTAATTCAGGTATAGTAGCTTGTACTTACCTAGTTCAGGCGCTAGGTAGGCTGGATGCAGGAATTGTATACAGTGGATGAGAGGGAAAATCCTTGCTTGACCAGAGGTAGGATACTCTCCCTCCCTCTCCCTCCTCTCCCTCCCTCCCTCTCCCTCCCTCTCCCTCCCTCTCCTCCCCTCTCCCTCCTCTCCCTCCCCCCTCCCTCCCTCTCCCTCCCTCCCTCTCCCTCCCTCCCTCCCTCCCTCTCCCTCCTCTCTCTCCCTCCCTCCCCTCCCTCCCTCTCTCTCTCTCTCTCCCTCTCTCCTCTCTCTCCCTCCTCTCTCTCCCCCTCCCCTCTCCCCCTCCCTCTCCTCCTCTCTTCCCTTCCCTCTCTCTCTCTCTCTCTCTCTCTCTCTCTCTCTCTCTCTCTCTCTCTCTCTCTCTCTCTCGAATTCATGGATTTAAAATTTCTATAAATATTGATTTTAACAGTAACAATAACAGTTTAATGAGTAATAAAGCAAGTTAGAAGGATTTCATGTCTATATAATACGGAAAATCTGCATATCCATATTGCTTTAAAGAAATGTTATAAGGATGAAATAATTATTTTTGATGTGATTAGGTGTCCTCTTAAAAAATATGGAGATTTAAATTACTTTATTATATTCGCTAAATTACCAGTTCAATATCTTCCACATGACTCACGAAATCGTAATAACACGATTGCCGACTAACCAAGGAATGGGTGGGGATTGAACCCATGGCGAGTGAGTCTTAAAACTCCAGGGCAGTGAGTAATTAGTGGTTTTTTTTTCTGTGCTTGATGTTTTACTCATGTATCTACGTTATCTGTTTGCTTAAAGCATTACCATTAATAAATTGGTCTGAATTATTATTCAAGCTTCATAGGCTTGCTATAAATGTCAGTAAATGTGAGGCTGTCAGCTCGATCAGCCGAGTTTTTAACCTGAGTACAGCCGAGAGGCACGATTGAAGAATTGCGGCCCAATTTTATATAACACGTCGTAAGATGAATTTAACATGGTTCAGTTTGCGGGAAGGAAAAAAAAAAACTTCTCTTTTCCTCAAGCGGCCGCCTTGTTGTGGTTGATCTGGGGAGACCTCCCGCAGTCCCCGCCCCCCACACTACCCCACCATCCCAGCATTCGTACTTCATGTGTCCAGTCCAACTTCTCTGGTACAAGCTTGTAATTGTGAATTGTGTTTTTGGTCTTTTAATTGCTATATCTTGTATCTGCCTAGCAATCATAACACCCAGAAGGCATACCAGTGTTGATCAAAGTGGCAAGAAAGGGTGTAAGCATTTAAGTCTTAGAATTAACGAAGGAAACAATGATGTTAGACAAGACATCCTGTGGCCATAATGAAGTGTTGCTTTGTACACATAAAAAAGAGGCAAACATAAGTTTGTATGACTGACTTACTGAGTGACTGACTTACTGAATGATTTGACTGACTTGTTGAATGACGACTGACTTACTGAACGACATAACTTTCTGAATGACTTGACTGACTTATTGAACGACTTGACTGACTTACTGAATCACTTGACTGACGTACTGAATCACTTGACTGACTTTACTAAATCACTTGACTGACTTACTGAATCACTTGACTGACTTACTGAATCACTTGACTGACTTACTGAATCACTTGACTGACTTACTGAATCACTTGATTGACTAAATGACTTAAAGTTAGACACTCCAATACAACCATCTTCAGTACCAGAACCTCTACCATCCACATCAGCCCAGTAGAGCCACAGCATAACTCTCCACTCTCTTCACAATCATCCACAAATGCCAGCACCCACAATTTAAGGTAAATACTATTATTTCTGTCACATTTGTAGTCTTAAGCAGTAAAAACAACATGATACATCACAATAAACCACAGTTACATATTCACTTTTATTTTTGTAGGATGTGGAGGCCTAAAAAAAGTTTGGCTTTTTTGGGGCTCTCTGGAACGTAACCCTATTTTTCCCATAAGTTCTTCAGTTCATCTAACACGATTTTACCTAATACAGTGTTTTCAGGAACGTAACTACCGTGTTAAATAGCGGTCTACTGAACTTATATTTGCAACAAGATATGAACGCTCGATTCTAACATTTTATTGAATTCATTTAATGTTTATAATGGACAGTTTGGTACAGTTCTATGTGAATTTGTTTCCCAAGATATTTCATTCTCCTAAATTCGACAGGAGTTTTGAGGGGGAAATATTTAACATTTTTCATGTTCTTTGTTTTTCGTCCGATTTCGTTATTTTTTCTTTTTTGTTTAAATAAATCGTACACAAACAAAATAATTAAAAAATGATTGAAAATTGGATTTGGCAGTAATATGCGACTTGCTGGCACTGCCAAGTGTGTGTTATTATATATTATTATATTATTCTTTATTTACTACAAGTACATGTACAAGGCATACAGGCCTAGCTGACATCAATGACATACTACTATATAGAAAGCCGCTTGTTATACTGAGCATTTCGGGCAAATTTAGTCAGTTTTGTCCCAGGATGCGACCCACATCGGTCCACTAACACCAAGGTACCCATTTTACTGATGGGTGAACATAGACAACCGGTGTAAAAAAAAACGCCCAATAGTTCTACCCTCCCTGGGAATCTAACCCAGACCCCTCGCCGTGTGAAGCGAAAGCTGTAGCCACCAGATCACAGGGCATCTAGCAGAGCTAGATGTTTTTTCTCATGATACGAGGACACTCGTGAGGCGGGTATTCAAACAGGAGGAGGCTGAAATTAATCCTTGAGATACCACTGTCACGAGTGTCCTTGGTTCTATCTCTGCTAGATGCGTGATCTTTGTAGGATCACTGGCTTAGTGGTAAGATGACATGTCTCTTGTGGCGGGACAATATGTCATGGGGTCGAGTCCTAGCCTTCCGCAGTTTGGTAAATGATTCAAAATCACCTGTTTCGTGATTTCATTGCTATATAGATTGCTTCTTGAGGCGGGTATTCAAACATGAGGAGGCTGAAATTAGCCCTTGAGATACCACTGCCACGAGTATCTTCGGATCACGAGAAAAACATCTAGCTCTGCTGGATGCGTGTTGGTATCTCGTGATATCTGTCTCGACAGTTCAGCTAAATCAGCTGCACGTTAGGAGGCAGTTCGCGGAAAAATCCCAATAAAGTTCATTATAACTTTAATCACTTAGGACAAGATCACTAAAACTATGATCACAGAACACGCTCATTTTTGATACACATACCCTCAAATCACTTTATCCAAGAACACCAAATAACTAGACTCACTAAAAAATCTAAGATCACTAAACACTAAGATCAATATTAATAAGATCACATTTTCACAAAAATCACGTTCACTAACTCCATATTATGATTACCAGTATCTAAGATCACTTAGAACAAGACACTCAAGATAACTAAAACAACACACACTTTTATACTCATTCAAAACACTATAACCAAGATCACTAATACTATGATCACAGAAAACACTCATTTTCATAAACATTTCAAGATCTTTCTGCTGATATATCATCAGTCTCATTACCTTACCTGCAGGAACTCTCAACGCCATCTATTAAAGTAGGTTTTCTGATAACATTTGAATACTCCCAAATATCATTTGAATACTCCCAATTAACATTTGAATACTCCCAATTAACATTTGAATACCCCCAATTAACATTTGAATACCCCCAATTAACATTTGAATACTCCCAATTAACATTTGAATACTCCCAATTAACATTTGAATACCCCCAATTAACATTTGAATACTCCCAATTAACATTTGACATCTCTAACTCAACCATAAAAATTACATTCTCAATCACACATTTCATTAACTGAAAATTACATCTCATCCACCAAACCACACGCTCATAATAATAGTTTACTCACTCATTCACCAGACTTTACAACAAACCCAAAAAACTAAGACATGATATGAGCACAAAAAAACATGAACACAAACCTATCACACAAACACTTAGAACATGATCACAAACTAAAATATATCATGTACACAAAATCTAAGTGAACCACAAACTAAGACATAACATGAACAGAAACCTAACACAAACAACACATGATCAATTTGATCACCAAAGAAAATCTAAGACATGCACTTATGACATGAGCACAAAATCCATGACATGAACACTATAACATGACAACGAACTAATGACATGAACACAAAAAATTAATACGTAAGACATGGACACAATCACCATCTTAGACATAAGCACAAAATCCATGACATGATCACTGTAACATGCCCAACAACTAATAGATAACATGTACACTAAAAAAATTAAGACATGAGACATGA